GACACAATGAGAGTCAGTGCAAACCCGGGACCCAGAACTATTTTGGTCATTGGCACAGGGCCTGCCCCAGAGTAAACCAGAACCTAACCCATGGCTGTAGAGTCAATTCGGACTCATGGCGACCCCATGTGCATCAGAGTAGAACTGTGCTCCATGGGGTTTTCAATAGCTGGTTTGTTGAAAGCAGACTGCCAGGCCTTTCTTCCGAGGCACTCCTGGGTAGACTTGAACTTCCAACCTTTCAGTTAGCAGCCTAGTACTTAATTGTTTGTGCCACCCAGGGACTCTGGGCACATGGTAGGTGGTCAATAAATGCTTGTTAAATGAATGTGTGAGCCATGAGGTCTCAAAATGCACAGGTATCCCCCCTACCTGAAAAATACCAAGCGGAGAGATGTGCTTTATATTCAGAAAAAGTTGCACCAGAAACCCCACAACCTCAGTTTCCACACTGCCTGCATATGAACTGCAGCCAGGATTTGAGGAGCAGGACCAAGGGCCTGGCCACTCCCACCCAGGGCTTGTATGGCTACTGCCCTGTTTTATAGCAGGAAGCTAAATAAGGCCCAGAAAGGAGACATGCCCAGACCTGACAGAACCCCCAGCCATGCCAAGGTCACCCCACCCCTCTATGTGCAGATGGCAAGAAAGTCCTGCATTCTCTCACCATGTCGATGACCATCCTGCGCAAGCTTAGCCTTTGCTTGGGGCTGAGGTTCTGGAAGATGTCACAGTTCTCCGTCTGCAGTAGCTTGAAGCCCACAGCCAGGTGGTGGTTCTCCAGCACGGAGGCGTCATTATACATGAGGGCAAGCTCGGAGTCTGTGGGGGAGGCTGGAGTCTTGAGACCCACCCACCTAATCCACACACCCAAAGGCAGGTTTTGGGAAGTCCTGGCAAACTCCTACACATGCACTGAAGCCCTAACTCAAATGCCTCCTCCTCTAGAAGATTTCCAGGATCCTTTCGCTCCCTTTGGCCCTGCTTTGACTCAGTGGAGCTGGGGGTGTCTGTATTTGGCTTTGCCTCCCTGGGTTGTTTTTTTTTTTTTTTTTTTTAGGTCTAAGGCAGAGCAGAGTAGGGCAGGGCCCCTGACTCACTAGTGTTGATCAGAAATTGGTTGGAGACTCCAGGATGGTCCACATCATGAATGGCACTTGCAAAGATGGCAGCCAGGATTTCCAGGTCTGAGAACACGGCCTGGGTGGACACAAGGCACAAGAGGTAAGGGGTAGGCTCTGTGAGGCAGCCTGGCCACTGGCACCTGGCAGGGCTGTACCTCGAGGGCAGGTGTGGCCAGCAGAACATGTGTGGACTGAGCTACGTCAGCAGCATGGAGACTGTTGTGGTAGGCCGCGTCAGCGTGGTAGTGGCCCTCCAGCGTCAGCAGGTAGGTGAGCAGTGTGTTGGCTGGGATCTGGAATGTCTTAAGCAGGTTCCGCTCCTGGTTCATTACAAGCCCTTGGTCAGGGCCTTGCCCTTGGGGTGGTGGCACACACTGTTCCCACTCCTTTCCTTCTGAACTTCTGTCCTTCCCTCAAACACATCCTCCTCCAGGATGCCCTCCTGCTTTTCCTCAGTCCCTGTCCTTCTCCTCTGGCTCAAACCTCACCCCACAAGACTAGGGGTGTCTGTGTCTAGCTGTTCCCTCCAAACTGTTTCTTCAGTGCCAGTTCCAGGGCTGAGGTTTGTTGATAAAGCAATTTTTCAACTTAGCAAACTCCTATTCACCCTTCAAAACTCTGTTCAGATAACCCTATTGACAAGTGTCAGGGAGGAATGATTGAAGACTGATTGACCCCTGAGTAGGAAGAGGTGAAGAAAACTCCAGGGATCCTATTGGAAGTCAAGGACAGGGCAGGTACCTGAAAAATACTGAACATGATGACTGTGAGGGGCCGGTTCCCGCTTAGTTCTGCCACCTTAAACACGTCAAGCCCCCACTTGTTAGTGTCCTCCAGCTCCTAAAATGGGAACAGCTGGAGTTTAACCCCAACCACCTTCCCCTGACCCTGGAGCCTCAAGCCCCAAGGGTCCCGCATTAAGCCCCACCTGCCCAGTATGCAAGTGGGCAAACTGAGGCCCAATGTAGGGCATCTGAATGGAGCCAGACCTGGAACCTGGATCTTGCGGTTTCCTTTGGAGGCTCACCTTGGCCAATTGTCCCTCCTGGTCAGTCTGGATGCCAAAGCGAGGGACAGTGGCAGTGGAGAGGCTGGCACTGGGAGAAAGCTCACGTAGGCCGCTGATCTGGGACATGGGCCGTGACAGCTCTGCAGGAGCCACACTGGGCAACTCCACCTCCGTCTCATGGTCTGTAGGTGGGGCAGAGCGGATTTGTCTTCTAGGACTGTCCTAATCTGGCCTCAGGTCCTGGGCCTGGACAAGCCTCAGGAAGAACCTATTTCCTTTTTTACCTGGACCAAAGTAAACTCAGCAAATCTCCCATCTGGCTTGTAACTACCCTTTTCTCCCAGTCACAGCCTATTTCAGTGACCCCTTCTGCGGAGCATGGCCCCTGGGCACTTGAGGCTCAGCATCTTTCCCCAAATTATCCTTTCCTACCCTAAGCTGAGCAATCCTTCTTCCGTAGTGATACTGCCTCGGAAACCCAAGGAGGGGTCGCTATGAGTCGGGGCCGACTCGACGGCACATAACAACAACAACAACAACCCTAAGCTGAAGAGCCACATGTCTGGTATCCTCCATCCCTTCATGACAAACTTCTATTCATGCTTCAAAACCCTGGTTTTAATGTCCTCCCCTGCTAGAAGTTCCACCCATTCCTCCCTCTGACCCAGCTCTGACCTGTGGGGTCCCCTTCTCTGTCTCCCCCAGGGCTTCCTCAAGGGCCAGACCCAGAACAGAGGCCTGTTAGGGGCCTTGACATCCCTTGAAAAGTTCGTAATGAGCTTTCTTCCTAGTCTGCCCTTTTCTTCCTTCATCCTACCTCTACACCATTGTCCAGACAGTGCCCCCCCGCCACAGTGACCCCCCCCCCCCCCCGCCACAGCTCACCCAGGAAGGTCCGGGAGATGAACTCGGACACCTGGTTCCCAGAGCGACTAGTTTCTGACAGGTGGCTCAACTCTCGGTTCAGCATCCTCTTGAACTGCAGGGAAGGTGTGGACAGTGAGGACAGGAGCGCTGTGGGCAGAGGCAGGGGGCCCCTAGGCTGTCTGGCCGCCCTCACCTTGTTGGAGGCCATCTCCCCCACTGAATGCCTTGTCTGCAGTGTCTCCAGCTGGTCCAGGCACCAGTCTAACTCGTCCAGCGTCTCCAATGCCAGCTTCTGCCCATTGTCCTCTGGGGAGCCAGGGGGTCAGGGGCCCACCCAGAAGCCCCACTCCCAATGCAGGGACACCCGTGCCATGGCACTTTGTACCCAGGAGTCTTCTCCTGGAGCTACTCAGGACACCAAGATCCAAACTCGACATCTGTCGCCAAGTGGCTCTGTCTCCGCCCCTCCCTGGGCTTCAGCCTTCCCATCTGCAATATGGGCGTGGGGAGCTCCATCCCCGAGGGTGAATTTTTAGGGTTACATTTAAGGCTGAGCTGGGGAAGTCTCCAGGGAAAGGAAATTCACGGACGGGGTGGGGGAGGGGGGCACGTGTTACCTGTGGGTGGAGGGGGCTGACTGCCGGATGGAGGGTTCCCGCCGGATGTCCATCTGTGGGACAGTTGGCTCAGGGCTGGCAGGACCGCACCTGTCTAGCCCCGCCCCTCCAGACCTAGCCCTTCAACGCGCCCCACCCCGATGCGCCAGAATCCCAGCTCCGCCCCTGCCACGCCTCCATTTTTTTTTTTTGAGCAGTCGGTCCGCCCCGCGTACCTGGCGACCCGGTACCTGGCGGCCCCGCCCCTCTCTTCCCGGTCCCGCGCGTACTTGCCCACCCCGCGGCCCTGCAGGAGGGCGAAGGCCGCCACGTTGCTCCGAACCGTTTGCAGACTGGCCAGGACCTGGCGAGAGGAGGCGATCAGCACCAGGGAGGGAGGAGTCAGCTCCGCCGGCGCGGCTTACGGAGAGGTGGACACCCACCTGGGCAAAGGGCGTCACAATCAGGTCCTCGGCGTGGCTGCGGGGAAATAGACGTTCACGGAAGGCAGCAGGGAGGACATTTCCCACATGTATCCACTTTTCAACTTCTACCCACACCATGCCATGTGGTAAGGGGACACTCCCCTCAGGACTCCCCCTCTGGGTACCCACTGGTCCCTGGGTTACCTCAGCGGCCTCTCCCCTCTGACTCCGTTTATCTCCATCTCAAAATGGGGAAATTGAGTCCCAGCTGCAGCATGGACAGTAGAGCCAAGGCAGAAATGATTGTATTTCCCTTTTCATTGTGGCTACCAGGAAGCTCAAATTGTTTGTTCATTTGCCGTTTATTGGCCTTAATACACCTGACACCTAGTCTCCCTCACCTCCACCCCAGTCTAAAGCTGAGCACAGAGGGTCACCTAGGATCATTCACTGAATGACTGGCTGAATAAGTGAGTTACCTGCCTGGCAAACTCCTATGCAAACTTCAAAGTCCAGATCAAGTGGCCACTTGAGGGAGGGTTGCTGAATAAAGGTATAAAGGAAGGAAGGAGGGACAAAGGGAAGGCATCCCACCAGCCCAAGACTCACAGGTCACTGGCCACGGAGGAGTTCCTGGACATAGCTTTGGGCGAGAACTCGAAGTCACTGTCTGAGCGGTACAGGAAGGATTCCCGCCGTTGGCTGTGTGTGGCAGAGGTCTGGCCTGCCCTGCCCAGGCCTGAGCTGGTCTGAGAGGCCAGAGCACTCCTCCCGCCTGAAAGCCCATTTTCCAGGTCAAAGCTGGAGGGAGAGGAAACGTGATCAGAGTCAAGGGTCCCTGACAGTCGAGGTCCACATTCTCCCTGGGGCTTGGGGGTGTGAGCCAGGCTTGTCTACTTGAGGTCCCCACGCCTGAAGGCAGGAACTGGGCACCGGTGTTACAAAGGAGGAAACTGAGGCCCAGGCTGGGCGACCAACTCCTGGGGAGACTCCAGTCCTGCCTGGCCCCATGGGCTCCAGAGACCCTAATGCTGGGGAGAGGCCCCACCCTTAGGAACCTAACCCCGCCCATAGACTACTGGTCACGCCCCTAAACCATATGGCCACGCCCCCAATCAGCCAGGATACGCCCTCAGCTCACAACGTTGCTTCCCTGCGGTGTGCTCTGCCTGGAGCCTCCTAGTCACTCATCCTGTAGGGTCCCGAGGTCCCCTTCTCTGATCTATCCCCCCCTCCAGCTCTCCCAGTCCTGTCCTTCGGTCCAGCCACATCCTGATTAGGCACGGGGATCTATGCCCCACCCCTTCCCCCCGCCCTGGGGTCAGAGATTAGAGAAAGGGTGGAGAGGGTGGGCCAAGGGCAGTGATGTAGGGAGCGGGGTGGCCAGACAGGCGGGGCTGACTGTGGGTCACGGCCTTTTGAGGAGGTTGGCGGAAGAGGCAGAGAGCGAGAGACATCAGGGGCCGTCCAGGACTCGGCCTTTCTGACCAAGGGTCCCCTACCCTTGACCTGTGAGTCAAAGGTCACCCGGCCCTGTAGCTGAGTCGGTGTCAGCTCTGCGCAGGCCTAGGTTCAGGCAGCTTCGGGCAACTTCGGGTGAGTTCGGACTTCTCCGGCTAACTCCGCTCTTCTCAGGAGACTTAGAGCAGGTCTGCGTGGCGCTCAGGAGAGGTCGGGCGTATTCGGCTACGTCCGGCCGCGCTCGGGTGAATTCGGATGTGCTAGGCTGAGCTTGGCCTTACTCCGCCGGTCCCTCGGGTTCTGCGGCTGAGATCCCTTCACCGCTGGAGTGATTCCAAGGCCCTGCTCTTTGACATCAAGGAACCGGGCTTCTTAACCCTTCCCTGCCTGGACTGGGGGGAGGGGCGCCGCGGACCTGGAGACGCCGTTAGAGGCGGACTAGAGGCTGCGGATACCCCCAGACGCTGTCCCCCCTAGAGGAGGTCTGGAAGTGGCGACCCTCTACTCCTCTTTTGCCCCTTCCAAAGGCTTCTGGAAAAGCGCACCTATGGTCAAATGGGGAAACTGAGGCCGGAGCGCTCTCAGAGTCCTGAGTTCGAATCCACATCCCAGGCGCAGAGGGTTAAGGAGCCTGAGCTGGGGTTTTCTGTGGGCGGAGGGAACTGTTTTTCTTTCTGCTCTAAACTTAGCCCGGAGCGGCGGGGTCAGGCCCGAGGTTCCATGACGCGGGCTGCGCGGGGTGAGGTCTCTGGCGCGGGGCTGTGGGAACGGCGCGGCTGTCCATTGATCAGACAAGTAAACTGAGGCACGGAGGTGCCTCGGAGGTCCGGAGCCACACAGCTGGGCTCGAGGCCTGCCTGCGACAGACCCGCTACCCCGAGCCTCACTTTTTGGGGTATCTGGGATCGCTCCCTAGATGCCCTTACACGCTCCCTGGAGCCCTCCCGAGGGACCTTCTCTAGGGCCAGAGACTCCTCTGCCGGGCTGAGATGGCGTCACCAGGGACCACAATCACGCCCCCTGACCCCAGTTCAGTCACTGTCTGGCCAGTTGAATTTGAAGAAATGATCTTATGTCTCTGAGCCTCAGGTTGACGGACTTTGAAATGGGTACAAATGCAGCGCGAACCGAAAGCTTGGGATTCGCCCATGGTGGGCTCCTAAAGCCCCAACTCCACCCCAGCCTCACCGCAGCCCCAGGTCACAGCCCCTTCCTACAGGGCCGGAATATGAACCCAGAGCAATGGATGGAGTCAGGACCTAACTCTAACTCTAACCTAACCCTTACTCTAACCTCTAAGGCTTATTTTACCCACTAACCCTTACCCTAACCCCTTATCCATTCCTAACCCTAACGCTTAACCCTAACCCCTACAACCTAGACTCCAATCCTTAATCCCTTAACCCCAACCCCTAACCTCAATCCTGCTTCCTAACCCCGAAGGACTGCCAGGAGTGGGCGCCCACACTGGTGAACACAGCCCAGACGCGCACGGCGCACGTGCTCTTAGGGCTCCTGCCCTAAAGACCCTATTAAATCAGGCCTTCTCCGGGGACACGGAGGGCTCAGTGTGAAGCCCCTAGCCATCTTGTTGCTGGTCCAGGACAGATGGTGGGAGATGGGGAAAACAAGAGGACGGTCACTCCCCCACGTAGACTGTGAGGGCTGGGAGAGGCCATGACCTCTGAGCCTGCTCCCGACCACAGAAGAGGACAGACAGACAGCGGGTCCCAGGGGCACATCCAGGGGCACTTGGAGGGAAACAGAGAAAGGGAGGGAGACAGAGACAGGGCAGCAGAGAGATACAGAGAAAGGGAGCGAGGGCGGTGAGGCCATACCCCAACCGATTGTTCCAGCCCCTGGCCTTCCACCCGGTACCAGCCCCATCCCGCCTCACCACAGCGGATGGGCCACAGTGAAGCGACGCTGCAGGCGGATGCTCTGGTTCGCCAAGAGCTTCCTGAAGAGGCCGGGAGAGCTGCGCGGGGAGCCCCGAGGAGAGCCAGGCGCCGTGCCCGGGGCGGGAGCGGGGGACCCCTGCATCACTGAGACCTGGCGGCGGCTGGACTGCACCGGGCTGCGCGGGGACCTTTTCTGGACGGCTGCGGGGGCGGGGCCTGGCGGGGACAGGACCGAGGGCGCACCCGCTCCGCCTCATGGCTGCAGCTCCTAAAACCCTTTTCGGCGTGGACAAATGGGGAAACTGAGGCACGCCGCGGCGCGCGAATCTCTGCGCTCCCTCTTTAGAGGGCGGCCCCGCGGGGCTCAAACGCTGGCTCGTGGGCCTCGTCAGCCTCTTCACTTCCCCCTGTCTGCACTTCCCCCATTATCGCCACCCGCGGGACTGAGAACTCAGCCGGCAGTTAACAGTGAGATGCGGAAGTCAGCCGACTGAGGCGCGTAAGGAAACCGCCGCCCTGTCCTCCGTGACGGGCAGGGCCGCAGGCGAGGGCGTTTGTGGGGGGGCTGCTCAGATCTCACGCGGTGTTTCCAACCCCTCTGCCCCTTTTCCAAGTGGAACCAGTGAGGCGCAGGGCCAGGAGGGGCTGCCCAGAAACTATGAGCACTTAATCCTTTGCCAGGTGGGGAAACCGAGGCTTGGAGAGGTGTTCAGAGGCGGGAACATTCATAGCAAGGCAGCGGGGCTGGGACCCAGCTCACCCCTCTCCCAGCGCCCCACCCCCGCCGCCCCCCTCAGTCCCCGCATGACCCTCCACCTGCTGTGACATTCCCCAGGCCTTGTCTCTGGATTGTCTCGCTACCTCTCCGGCTGTCTTCGCTAGACAAACATCCGCACTCCACCCTGGTCAGGCCTTCCGTCCTGGGAAGCCTCATCTGCCTGCCCTCCACCCGGAAAGGACACAGCAGGCCTAGAAAGGGTGGGAGTCTGGTGCCCCAGGAGTTTTGGGAGGGCCGTGCCAGGCACCTTAGCTCTCAGCTGGGGTCAGCTTGGCCCATTCCCATTTTACTGGGGAAGACGGAGTCAGTCAAGATGTCACACACCAGGATGGGCCCAGGCTCTTCTGTCACAAGTGGAGGAAATTGAGGCTCAGCGAGACCAGGCCTCCCAGCTGAGGCCTTAAGGAAGGCTCTAGGCCAACTGAGTCCTCTGCTGTGGGATGAGTCTCTGGCCCAGGCTGCATCTTGGGGAGTTCACTTGTTTTGGGGTCCCCAGACAATTGCTTTGGGCCCCTCTTTCTGGAGATGGGCTCACACTGCTGGCAATCAGGGAGAATCCGAGACGCAACTCAGGGTCACCCCAGGAGGAACCCTCATCTTCCCCAGATCTTCTACCCACACGAAGGTGAGAAACATTATTCCCAGTTTACAGATGAGAAGAAGCCACCGAGAGGGTTCACACAGCCCAGGAGGATGGGCTGCCAGGGGTCCGGCCAGGGCCTCCATCCCACCGCCCTGGCTTGCAACCAGTCACCTGATGGGAACAAGACCTTGTTGTCCCCAAAACAAAAGTCCTGCCTGTCACTGCTGAGGCTGAACCTAATTATGGACAGTCCCCAGGAGACTGAAGCCACCAGGACAGGCCTGATGGAGACAACAGAGCTAGGATCTGAGAAGCCTCAAGACAACCCCAGCCCTGTGGGGGAGGCTGACATGGTCCCATGCTCCCAAGGAGAAACTGAGGCACAGAGCCATTCAGCCACTTGCCTGTAGTTCCAGATGTTAAATGGGAGATTAGGAGGCAACATGAGAGGAGTGAGTGTGGCCAGCGCTGGCGCTGAGCCCCAAGCTTTGCATGTGGAAGCCATCTGGTTTTCCAAACAACCTTACAGGGTGGGTACTGTTTGTGTCCTGGTTTTGCAGATGGGATCCCTGAGTGACACAAGCAGCTTGTGACCAGCTGCTAACCTAAAAGTGGGTGGTTCAAACCCACCCAGCGATGCTAGGAAAGAAAGGCCTGGAAATCCTGCACCATAAAGATTACACCCAATAAAAGCCTATGGAACAATTCTCTGTCCCACGTGGGGTGGGCATGAGTCAGAATCCACTTGATGGCAGCAAGGTTCTTTGTTTGTTTGCAGATGGTGAGATGGAGGCATGGGGAGGCATGATCGCCTGCTTGAGCCACACAGCCACGAGGGATAGGGCTGGGACATTCGAGCCTGGGCCCCTCAGACTGCGTCCTTCCCCACTTAATGTGTTAGCTGGCTTTCTCCTCCACACTCTCAGAGACTGCACTGTTAACATCAATATTTCACTAATTGTTTTAATACGAATGTCTCATTAATAGATTGCATCGTAAATATTTTAGTAACAGTCTTAACAGTAACATGGTGCTAGTTGTTTTTTTGGATGGAGAAACTGAGTCACAGAGAGGGGAAGCCACAGAGCTGGACTCGGCAGCTGAGGCCCAGCCAGCCTGCCCCTGGGAGACCCTGAGCCCCACCAAGAAAGGAGCCAGGGCTGAAAGAGAGGTAGACAGGAACTCCCATCCTGACTCTGTGGCTGCTGTGCTGTATGACCCAGGGAGTGCCCGTCCCGCTCTGGGCACTCTGGGCCTGAATTCCCCTCATTTGAGTCTCTTGCAGAGCAGGCATTTTTCCTTCCTGCCACCAGGTGGCGCCAGCAACAACAAAGGTGGGTATTGTTATGCCCCATTCTACAGAGGAAGAAACTGAAGCCCTGAGAGGAGAGATGGCTTGCCCAAGTCCACGTGGAGGGTTGGACAGAGTGAGGAGGGCTGAGTCGTTGCTCCCATTCAGATGTGGAGAAGCTCACCTCCCCTACTCCAGAACCTCCCATGACTCCCCATGGTCTCTGGGTTTAAATCCATGCCTCACCTTGTGACTCAGCCTCCCCACCTCTTCTCCCACTGCCACTCCTTTGCTCTCTTTGCTCCAGCCCCACCCCTACCTCCCTGTGGTTCCTTCAGGCTTCCTCCCACCCCATAGCCCTTGCTCGAATTCTCTTCTCCTGGCTAAATATAAATCCTCACTTTCAGATCTCCACTCCAGTGCCGTTCCCTCCAGAAAGCCCTCCTAGACCAGTCAGTTAAACCCTCTCAGTGCCCCCTCTCATCGTGGGAACAATTTCGTGTTGATTGTTGTAACTAGGATCCTGTCCACCTCTCCCACCAGTCTGTGAGGGCAACACCACGTCTACTTTGCTCCCTCCTGTTTTCTTTGTGCCCAGCACACAGTAGGTGCTCTGTAAGTGTGTGTGGAATGAGAGAGGCCAGCCTACCATGCACAGATGGCCCAAGACAGATGCTTGGACCCTCCCAGACCTATGCAATCTGCCCAGGATGGAGGCAGAGTGGGACACAGTCTCACCAGGGTCCGCCTGGACAGGAACACAATGTTCATGGCCAAATGTAAGATGTGCACGTTCATGTTTGCTTCTCACAGTCACTGCACACAGCAGGCGGTGGTGGGGCCTGGCCTCTAACTCAAGTTTGCCCATAGGCTGAAACCCAACACCATCCCTAGCGCATGCATGTGTGGGAGGGACACATGCACACACATGCACGTGGATGCACCCTCACAGGGACACACACTCGCCACTCCAGCCTCCCAGAACCACGCGGGGTCTCCTCCCAGCGGCCTGAACCAAATCTGTTTGTTCTTTCCTGAAGATGGAAAATCATGACTCACCAGGAGGGGAGAGGGCTGGAGGAGCCTGGGGGGGGGGGCGGCAAAGGGCCTGTCAGGTCACCTGGGCACTGTTCCAACTGCACGGCACCCTGGGAGCCCCTCTGCCCAAACCACCTACCAGGGCTGTGAAAGCTGGATGGCAAGACTTCAGACAGGTTTGTTGATCACATAAGAATACAGTGGCCCTGGGAGGCTGAGACCAAGGAAGGATGGGAGAGGGGAGCAAGGTCTAGAGGGGGAAGTGACACACCCAAGGTCACTGGAATCCAGGACTCCAGGTCTGGCTTAAATTGGTTCCCCATTTCCATCCAAGGAGGGGCCCTGTCCTGGACCCTGTCTGGCTCTCGAGCCCTCACCGACACCTGGAGACTCCCCACATCTGCCCCTTCCTTGCAGCCCATGTCTCTTTGCTGTGTGTTTTCTCTGCCTAAGTCTCATCCCCTCCCTTCCCCAATTTGTAAGATGCAGGAGTATCCCCTCCCCCCATCCTTCCTGCTTTTCCACTCCCTGCCCATTCTTTCTCATGTGGAAGAAACATCCCATGTTTCAGTTCCCCAAGGGGCTTTCCCTCCTCTTACCACAAGTGCTGTATGGAGGACAGGGAAGTGTAGGGGAGGGAAGTGTAAGGGAGGGGAGAGTGGAGGAAGGGAGGGTGGCGGTGGTAGGAAAGCTCCGCCTTCAGCACCGTGGACAGCCTGGACCCCAGCCCTCTCATATCCCCACCCAGGATCACCCCAGATGTTCACAGTGTCTATGATCCCCTACAAACACTCGTGAGCAGTCTAGGGTCTGAGAGACCTTGGGACACCCAACTCGGTCAGCAGGAGGGCAGTCCCACCCAGCAACACGTGGGCGCGCGCGCGCTCACACACACACAGACACACAGACACACACGACAGGTCCACAACTGTGAGGGACAAAAGTGAGATTATACACAGGTAGAAACATGAGGCGCACACCCAAACACACCTGGTCACCCCCAGAGGTGCAGCCGCCTGTGGATATTTACACACACGGTCACAACTACGCACACATACTCAGAACCAACCACACCTGGGCACCCTTGGGTCGCACCAACTCACAAACCGCCATGGCCCCACCCCACCGCGAACCTGCCCTTTCCTCCAAAGCAGCGGCCTCAGCACAGGCAGCCCCCGCCCCCCGCAAGCCAGGACCCTCCCCAGCTCCCGCCAGGCCCCGCGCGCCCCTCCCCCATGCTCCCTACCGCCTGGGGGAGGAGGTGGGCCAGGAACGCCGCGACTTCTCCAGCCCCGGCCGCGGACTCTGGTACGGTTCACGGCGGTGCGCGGACTTGTCCGGGTCGGAATGGAAGCGCTGTTGGATGCAGATGGGGCGACGAGGCTGCCGCCACAGGTGCTTCGGGGGCCTGGCTGTGCCTTGGCGGCTGTGAGCGCAGCTCAACCCGCTGGA